TGACTGCTGACCCCAGACCAAACTCCCACCACCCGTTGCCCAATAAATACACAACACCTTCTTTATGGGTAAGGGCAACGGCCACAGCTTTATTAACAGAATTAACATCGATTATCACCAGCGTCCACAACCTGTCAGCTGTTGGGGATTACCAACAGACAGCTCTATCAAAAGACCCACGAGTCCAATGCAGCCTGCCCCCGCCATCAGCTCTCAGCAGGCTGCGACTCCCCAAGCCGCTTGGGCACTTTCTTCCAAACCTCTTCGCTGGCCAGGACTACCGCGAGCTGTGACAAAACAAAGAAACAACAGCACACAACCAACAACAACACCATCATAACACACGTTTTGTGGGTGGGTGGGCGGGAAGCTAGCAACACTACACCTCTGCCCAGGAACTGGTGAGTACCCTCCCCTTTTTCCCCATCTTAATGTCCCCCCATGTGCAACAATGTATCCCCTTGTGACCCAACCCCTTATCCCTGCCAGCAGTCATGTCCTCCCTTCCTTAATGTCCAGGGAGGTACTTGACTGCTGACCCCAGACCAAAACTCCCACCACCCGTTGCCCAATAAATACACAACACCTTCTTTATGGGTAAGGGCAATGGCCACAGCTTTATTAACAGAATTAACATTGATTATCACCAGCGTCCACAACCTGTCAGCTGTTGGGGGATTACCAACAGACAGCTCTATCAAAAGACCCACGAGTCCAATGCAGCCTGCCCCCGCCATCAGCTCTCAGCAGGCTGCGACTCCCCAAGCTGCTTGGGCACTTTCTTCCAAACCTCTTCGCTGGCCAGGACTACCGCCACCGCGGTTCCTCCCTACCTACTCCCCTGGGAGGGACCGCGCCCCCCCGCAGCCAGCGCCTCCTCAATACCTGCCTGAAGACCCGCATTCAGGATATCCAATCCTATGAGGGAAAGGTGTACCCCATCCTTCCGCATCAAATCGGAATTGTCCCCTTCCAGCTCCCTGTGCCTAATGACAAAACCGCCAATCCGGTGGACAAATTTTCCGATGGCCACGTTGAGCCTGCGCCTACTACGCTCCACGCCCTTAGCATGCGGCAGCGAACGCCAACGCGGCCTGGACACTATGTCCGACCAGATCAGGGTCAACTCGGGGAAAAGAGCCATACACCGAGCCAGATCGTGTCTAATCGCATGCAGGAGGTCCACTGACCTACTGCGCCCCAGGTCATTTCCCCCTGCATGAATTACTAGGGTTACTGGCCCCGACACGTACCTACGAAGGAATACGCACTCCGAATACAGCTGCTGCCACAACATACCCCTAATGCCCCTCCACCTTACCCTGGCTATCTCGTAGGAAAAACCCAAATTCCTCCCGTATGGACGCTCCTCAGCTCGCCGCGCAGCCCAATAAACGTAGGAATGTCCCAGTATCCAAATGCAGCGGGGCCGAGGACCTACGGAGAGATTGCATTATAGTAAATGAGGTCTGACATAGGACCTGTAGCACCGTGAACCCCATCTACCCAAGCGCTGAATCGCTGCGATGCTATGTCAGAAACCCCACAAACTAGCCTGGGTGGCCGCCCCTATCCGAAAAGAATGAGTAGAATAATGGCGAGGATTCACCCCGCATGCAACCAAGGCAGCACGGAACCTAGCTGAGAACTGATAACGTGTAAGGGGGGACCCATCCCTATGAACCAGAAAGGAGAGGCACCACATCGGCCGAATCTGCAAATACTCTGAGAAAAGACGGACCGGACAAAACCTGCCTCTCGTGGCACCGATACGCACCCATGAACCCCTACCTACCTGGTCTGTCTTGGAACACCGTATGCAAACATCCACATAGTCCTCGGACCACCGGATATCCGCCATGAGCAGCGGCCCCACCGCCCAACGGTTGCGTGCCACCAACTCGCCCACCCTAAAAGCTCCAAAAAAACAAAAAGCAAATGCAATCCGAAATAATGAGGCTTCATAGTCTGAGAAACAAACCGCCCCCATAGCCGCCAGGATCCGTCCCAGCAAGTCAGCCGACACCGGGAGGCGGCGGTCCGGGGCCCTTCTAAGTCTCCAACCCCGAATAACCCGCTGTATACCGAACCACCGAGAAACGTCTTGCCAACCCATAGACTGACAAAGAAAGGATAGGGCGCTCAAAGCCTTCTCGGCCGCAGAACAAGACTTACCCTGCGCAAACATGGACTCCAACAGTAGCAGAGTCGCCTCCAAGCGCCCGGACTCCGACCCCAGCATCAGGTACTGCGAAAACGAGGACAGCCACCTCCGCCAGACGGCTTGATATGCATTCCAGGTAGCGTCAGCTAAGGAGTCCGACACCAAGCTCCTCAATCCTCCAAATCGATCTCCCATAAGGAAACCGGACATCGGATACCCACAGCCTCCGCGGCTGGCGCCGACTCCCGAAAACGGTCCCACTGAAACCGAGAAAGAGAGTCAGCTACCACGCTGTCAACACCCGGGACATGACAAGCTCTAATCCAAACATTGAACTTTAAGGAAAGAAGTACCAACCGTCGCAGTAGCGCGAGAACTGGAGGGGAACTGGAGGTGGAACGGTTTATCACATGGACAACACTCATGTTGTCTGTGTGAAAAACAACAGTCCTGTTGGCCAAAGCATCCCCCCAGAGCTCCAGAGAAACAACAATGGGAAACAACTCCAAAAACGTCAGGTTACGCATAACATCCAAACCCCGCCATCGAGTTGGCCATACCTCCGCGCACCACTTACCCTGAAAATATGCCCCAAAACCCACGGAGCTGGATGCGTCCGTGAAGAGGTTCAACTCCGAGTTAGACGCAGCCTCCAGCAACCAGCAGGAGCGTCCATTGTAGCGCTCCAGAAAGGAGCTCCAAACTTGGAGGTCCGCGCGCAGACGCCGCGTGACTCGGATAAAATGAAAAGGCTCCCGAACCCCTACCGTGGACAAGGAGAGGCGCCTGCAGAACGCACGTCCCATTGGAAGAACTCGGCAAGCGAAGGCCAAGTGCCCCAGAAGCATCTGCATTTGCCGCAACTGCACCTTCCTCGCCCCTCGAACCAGGTCAATCGTCCGCAAGAGAACCGACACCTTCTCTTCCGGCAGCCTAAAAACCATACCGACAGAGTCGATCTCAATCCCCAAAAACGACAAAACCCAAACCGGGCCCACCGTCTTAGCCTCTGCAACGGGGACCCCGAAATATCCCATGACAGCCCGAAACGTTTGCAAAAGACGCTCACACTCACCCGAACCCGGAGGGCCAACGAAAAGGAAGTCATCCAAGTAGTGAGTAGCAGACACCAAACCCGCCTCCTGTAGCGTTACCCATTCGAGAAAACAGGAAAACATTTCAAAATAAAAACAAGAAATAGAACAACCCATGGGCAAACACATGTCGTAGTAAAAAAACCCCTGAAAAAAACAGCCTAGCAAGTGAAAACAGGAGGGGTGAACTGGCAACAGACGGAAAGCCGATGCTATGTCAGATTTTGCCAACAAAGCACCTTGCCCGGCCCAACGAACTAATTCCAAAGCCCTATCAAATGATGCATATCGCACGCGACAGATGTCCTTGCCAATGGCATCATTTACCGATTCACCCGACGGGTAGGATAGGTGCTGGATCAAACGAAAGGAACCTGGGTCCTTTTTGGGAACCAACCCCAGAGGGGAGACCCTCAGGTTAGGAAAAGGTGGCGCACTAAACGGGCCAGCCATGCGACCCGCCTGCACCTCAACCTGCAATTTTTGCTGTAAAATATCTTCTTTGCCCTTAACCGAGCGGAGATTGTCCGCGAACTGAGGGAAAGAAGAGGGAACAAAGGGGATCCAGAAACCTACCTGAAAACCATCAAACAATGTCTGAGCATCGCGACCCCTATGATACCGGGCGAGCCACGGGAGCATCCTTAGGGCGTCCACCGGCGTCCTCTCCCCTAGGTACGTCATCTCGAGAGGGACCCTTTCCCGCCATAAATTTTGTAGGCCCCCCAAATCAGATCTAAGTACCCGAACAGGGCCGGAGCCTTATCTGGGAACCGGCGCACTAGGATACTGGCAAATATGTTAAACCCCTGCAACCAATTACCAAAGGTTCTGGGTATCTGCTTACCTTTTTCCGCCTCGGGTACCTCCCCACGGCGTGGTCTGTCCACTGAATCCTTGTCGGGAGAGACCAAAGACAGCAGATCCACATACTCACCTCTCCAAATCTTCTCTTGCACGTCCATAGGGACATGCAAACCTAACGGTGCAAGATCACATCCCACCGAACCGGCACGAAAAGCCCCTGCGGCAGGCTGAGCCCTAAGGGTTTGAGAACATCCCTGCGGCTGACCCTCAGCCAGCCCTGGGAGACCCTGTCCCTGAACCTGTCTAGTATCCAGCCCAGTAAGATGGGAAGGGAAAGTGGCCACTAGGGTCCTAAGCAAGCGCAAGCACTCACTAGCCTGATCTTGGGCCCCAGTCCCTGGCACGCCGGCGCCATGTAACCACTCACCGGACCGCTGGGGAACTGCAGGCACCGAAACCTCCTCCTCTTCAGAACCAGAATCCGACCAAGGGCTCCCAGGGACATCTGCAGCTGGACCTGAGGTGTGCTCCCGGTTAACCGTTCCGAAACCGGCTGCCTCAGGGTGATGGGGGTTGACTCCGGCTGTCTGGGCTCTCCTGAGGTCTCCTCTTCTCCCTGCCGACCGTCCTCTGCGTCCGGCGCCCTGAGAACTCCGTGTTCTGGACCGGGCGCCGACGTTGTGTGTCATTTCCGGGTTCGGGACGCCGCCGGAGCGCGTCACTTCCGGGTCCCGTGATCCGGCGGGGCGCGTCACTTCCGGTTGCGCCCGATGATGACGTCCGGCGGCCTGACGCACGCCGACGCTTCCACTCACTTCCGGCGTCCTCTCTCTTCCCGCCGTTTGGACCGGAAGAGACGGCGGGCTCCGAGATCTTCCCGCAACGCCGCCATCTTGTCCACCAACGATGATGGCCGCCAATGGTGCCAATCCGCTGTTCCCGCTGGCGACCTCGACGTCTGGACACCGGACTGGGGGACAGGCGCGTAGGAGGCCTGGAACGCCTGGTCCTCCTACCGCCATCCAACGGAATAGAAGAAGTCCCTGAAGCTGCAGCAGGAGCCGGGCGATTATCCACCCCAGCGATCACCTCCTCCAAAGCACCGGATCCATGAGAGGTAAGGTACGCCTGCAGTAAGGCTACCACATCTTCCCTTGACACAGCTGAAGCCATTCTCCCGATGCCAGATGAGGGGGAAGTCAGGTAAGTAGAAAATCCAAATGAAAATATTAATAATTGAAAAATCTTTTTTTTTTTTTTTGGACAGTCCCAGGGGAAGCTAGCAACACTACACCCAGTGGCGTACACAGGACCCATGGGGCCCCGGTGCGAAAATTGATCCGTGGGCCCCCCCCTCCCTCCTTCCCCTCCCCCCCTGCGCGCGGGCCGGGCCGCAACACATGACGGTGGGCACCTGGTCGCAGAGGTTACAGGGCTGCGACCCCTGCGATCGCGGTATGTACACCAGTGCATGCAGATGCACACACACTTAAAGGACCACTCTAGGCACCCAGACCACTTCAGCTTAATGAAGTGGTCACGGGTCTCAAATCAACTAGGGAGGTTAACCCATTTTTTCATAAACATAGCAGTTTCAGAGAAACTGCTATGTTTCTGAATAAGGTTAAGCCTTCTATTCCACTAGCGGCTGTCTCATTGACAGCGCTAGAGCTTTAACTAACGTGCTTCTCGCATGATTTTACGGTGAGGAAACGCGCTCCAGCGATCCATAGAAAGCATTATGGGCTTCTTTCCTATGCTGACAACTGAATCTGGCGCACAGCTCTTGCGTAGCGTCTTATACAACCCGGCAGGGGAGAGGGTCCGGAGGAGAGCTCTCCGCCCAGCGCTGGAAAAAAGGTAAGTTTACCCCTTTTCCCCCTTCCAGAGCCGGGCGGGAGGGGGACCCTGAGGGTGGGGGCACCCTCAGGGCACTATAGTGCCAGGAAAACGAGTATGTTTTCCTGGCACTATAGTGGTCCTTTAAAGGACCACTACAGACACACAGATCACATCAGCTCAATGAAGTTGTCTGGGTGTCAGGTCCCTCTAGTTTTAACCCTGCAGCTGAAAACATAGCAGTTTCAGAGAAACTGCTATGTTTCACTGAGGGTTAATCCAGCCTCTAGTGGCTGTCTCACGGACAGCCGCTAGAGGAGCACACTGAGCGTCCATAGGAAAGCATTGAGTAATGCTTTCCTATGGGCGGTTTGAATGCGTGCGCGGTCGCATTCGGAGCTGAGAGGCTGAGGGATCCTCAGCGCCAAGGGAGTCCGGCGCTGGAGAAAGGTAAGTGCTGAAGACTCACACACTCTCACTTACAGGCGCATACACACTAGCTAACAGACACACACATTTACTGACAGAGACACACATTTACTGACAGAGACACAGTCAGCGACAGACATACATACACACTCACTTACAAAACATACACTCTCATTGACAAACACACACTCACTAACAGACATCAAACAGACTCACTAACACACACACTCAGTAAGACACACACAGTAACACACACTAACACTCACTCTAACACACACACACACTAACACTAACACTAACTAGCAGACACACACACTAACACTCACTAGCAGACACACACACACTAACACTCACTAGCAGACACACACACACTAACACTCACTAGCAGACACACACACACTAACACACACACACTCACACTAACACTCACTAGCAGACACTCACACTAACCCTCACACACACACTAACACTCACTCTCACACTAACACTAGTTTTTTGTTTTTTTTTATGTAATCCCCCCAGCCTCCTTACCTTTTGGAGTGCTGGGGGGATTCCCTGGGGTCCAGTGGTGCTGCTGACCCCGGCGGGCGGGTGGCCGGTCGGGAAGGCGGGCGCGCGAGGGAACACTCAGTGCTTCCTCTTCAGCTCCCTCGCGCGCCGCATAGGGATGCCGGAGGCGGAGCCGGAAGATGACGTCATCTTCCGGCTCCGGCATCAGTGCGGTGCGCGAGGGAGCTGAAGAGGAAGCACTGAGTGCTCCCTCGCGCGCCCGCCTTCCCGACCGGCCACCCGGTGACAGCAGGGCCAGCCTTGGGGGGCCCTGGGGTGGCCGGCTCCTGGGCCCCCCAGGGGAAGAGGCTGGCCCTGAGCGTACATACCGGGTCGCAGGGGCGGCCGGGCCCCCTGGTGGGCCGGGCCCGGTCGCAGCCGCGACCCCTGCGACCCTGGTATGTACGCCACTGACTACACCTCTGCCCAGGAACTGGTGAGTACCCTCCCCTTTTTCCCCATCTTAATGTCCCCCCATGTGTAACAATGTATCCCCTTGTGACCTAACCCCTTATCCCTGCCAGCAGTCATGTCCTCCCTTCCTTAATGTCCAGGGAGGTACTATACTTCGTTTTGTTGGGTTATAACATATTTTACACTTTTTTCTTCTTAACACATTACTGACAACATATTTAAAGTGTATGTCTGTTGTCATCATGCACTTGATGTATGTCCTTGGCCAAAAGTGTTTTTTAAAGCTGATCTCACCATAATCAGTGAGATTTTGATATTTCTGGATGTCTAACAATAAGACATTAGATAAATAGCTATCTGCAGGTTCAAACATGCAAACAGTCTTAAGGATCTTAAACCTATCACTGGCAATCATTGGTAGGGCCTCCAGATCCAATTTCAGATACTACGATTGGAGCATCTGCCATTCTGATACTGGAAGCCTCATCAGTGAGGCTTCCGGTAACATCTTGAAACTGCAGTTTAATGGTGTAGCATCGCTTTAGCAGCAGGCTATTAGTGAAAGCTGATCTTGACTTCAGCAGTACACATATTATTGTGCTGCCTTAGCATTTAGGCAACCAGATAGTTACGATTGCTCACCCTGGAAGCAAATCAGTGTGGTGACAAGACTTAGCTGTCAGTCAAGGCTTTATATCATGTGATACATGTATAAAGATATCCCCTATCTGTGAAACAATGCATTGTTAGGGTCAGTTAGTGCTTGGGTTGGTGGTTAGTTAAGGCTATGTTTAGTAAGGGTTAGTTAATGTTAGGGTTAACTTGCGTTAGTGTTAGGGTTAGTTGGGTTTAGGGCTAGAGTCAGCGAGCGTTAACAACAGTTAGGTTTAGAGTAAAATAGGGTTAGGCCTAGACAGGATTAAAAATAGCATCAACATTTGATGCTTATGAGTATGATGATACAGATAGATTAATTTTATTCTTTAATTAAAATAGTGTTTCTTGGAAGCAAACAAAAAGGTAAAAATTTGGGCATGTAGCCAATTTGTAAAGTTGGGTATTCATCCAATTTGTACAAATTTGGGCACATATACACTGTGACCCTACAAATTTCCTCAAAATGTGGCAAATGCATGGGTGGTAGATGTGTGGTGAAAAAAAAATTCAGTTAGTTCAAATCGATTTGTACCACACAAAGTATGTTGCATTGGGCGAATCAGATTTTGTCTGTAGGCATTATGATTCAGATGAATTTTGTCTATGCGATTGTTTGGGAAAAACAATTGGTGCGAAAATAATGCAAAACTGTGCCTATTAGTGTACTGCAAAATATATACATACAATAAATATGCATTTTCATGCCATTTAGTTCACATCTCAAGAAGTAGCCAATAGGAGGAAAAAAGGAGAAGCATTAAAAAGGTATATGTTTATATATATATTAAATATACTGTATATACTCGAGTATAAGACGAGTTTTTCGGCACATTTTTTGTGCTTAAAAACCCCCACTCGACTTATACTCGAGTCACTGTCTGTATTATGGCAACTTAGAGAGCCGCGGCCGTCAGAGCCATGGCAACGATCCGCGCGGCAACCAGACCGCTAGACTTACAGTGGAGCTGACCGGAACGGAGGAGAAGGGAGCTGACAGGAGCTGCAGGAAAGGTAAGTAAATGCTTCCTGCCGGCCCCCCCACTTCACAGCCCATGCCACTGGACCACCAGGGATTAAGATAGCCCTCCTCCCTGACCAGTTAACAAGCAGGGAGGGGGACAAAATAAAATTAAAATAATAAAAAAATAATAATATTAAAATTAAAAAAAATTAAAATAATAAAAATGCCCTCCCCCACCCAGTTCACACACACTACACAAACACACACTCTGCATTATATACACAGAGTGTGTGTATATAATGCAGAGTGTGTGTTTGTATGAGTGTGTGTGTATATAATTATAAAAATCACAGAATTTCATAGCCCCAAGTTTTACCCTCGACTTATCCACGAGGCATAGCATATTTCACAATTGTTGGTCACAAAACTGCACTCGACTTATACATTAGATCAACTTATATACGAGTATATACGGCATAATATATAAATGTAGATTTATTTTATTTTGCTTCTCCTTTTTTTCACTCTGTTGCTCACTTCTTCTTGATTTGTGAATAAAATCAGCATTTGGTAGCAATCATCTTCTTTTACATCTTTTTAAATGTTGGCAGCACAAACAAAACTTTAAATCACGAAACAAACTAAATGGCTCGTTCATTCCTTGTTTAGTTTGTTTCATGATTCGGTCATATAGCGTCTAGAAGTTACAGAATTTGGATGATTTGCCTATCGCCCACTATTTGCATGAATAGCAATTAATTTAAAACTGAATGCACAAGTCTAATGGTAATGCCTTACTTGGAATATGCAAAAGAATATAAGTCTGATGTCTTTGCGGCAGTATGACACACATGCTCTGTGCACAAGATCTGTGACATTCACCATTAAAATTCAATGTGTATGACAAAAAAATATATTGATGGTGGCTGCAGTAAAATGTTGAAAAAGCGCAAATGTTGAAAAAGCCCAAAATAGCTTAAATGCAAACAAGCCACTTACCTGTATCCAGTGCTGATGTCCCTCGGCGCTGGGTCAGGCTCCACCCTCGCCGACGTCAGTCGACGTCATTCAGTGCTTTCCTGTGGGAAAAATCTGACGCTGGAGGTCCTCATGGAGAACCAAAAGTCCGTTTGGATTTCGGAAGCGCTCCCAGTGACTTGGCAGACTTATTGCTGCAATATAAACATTAAAGTGGTCTGGGTGCCTACATTATCCCTTTAAGTTTTCTTCTTTTGCAAATATGCCATGATGGATGAAAATTGTCGCCATTGGTATGTGGGCCCAGTAAATTATTTGGCTAAAACTGGACAACTGGCAGAGGCTGATGATACATTTTTAAAGGATCACTATAGGGTCAGAAACACAAACATGTCTCCATAAATATAGTAAAAATCTTACTGTATTCAAGCCTGAAGCTGTAACTTTTCATGCTGTTTGTCTCAGAAAAACAAGCAGTCTGCTGACATCATCAGAAGTGGTGGCCTGATCCAATCACAATGCTTCCCCATAGGATTGGATGAGACTGACAAGGAGGCAGATCAGGGGCAGAGCCAGCACAATTCAAACACAACCCTGGCCAATCAGCATCTCCTCATAGAGATGAATTGAATCAATGAATCTCTATGAGGAAAGTACAGTGTCTGCGTGCAGAGGGAGGAGACACTGAATGTTTGGATGCATTTTAGGCAGCCATGACCCAGGAAGGATCTCTAACAGCCATCTAAGGAGTGGCCAGTGAAGTTATCACTAAGCTGTAAAGTAAACACTGCATTTTCTCTGAAAAGACAGTGTTTACAGCAAAAAGCCTGAAGGTAATGATTCTACTCACCAGAACAAATTCAATAAGCTGTAGTTGTTCTGGTGACTATAGTGTCCCTTTAATAAAAAGTTATTCAGTTAAAAGTCCTGGTGAAGGTAAGTCTGTTTTTTAAAAAAAAATACACACTTAAACTGTAATTCACTTCTTGTTATATTTGTCGTAAAACTTCAAAAAATTAAATGAAAACCTGGACATGTGATGCATTTTAGCAATCATGACTATTTTGAGGATTTTTTCTTTAGTTGCGCTAGTTGCATAGAAATCATAAGAAGCAAACCATGGTAAATGTGCTACGTGCTAGATAATTGCTGACGGTGGTTATTCATCATAATATACTGTTGTGCTTATGCCTGGGTAAATTCTCACAGGAGCTCGCTATGGGTTAAAAGGTAAGTGGCTGAAGGGGTTTTAACCCCTTCAGCCCATTCCCTTCAGCCCAGCGGGAGGAGAGCCCTGAGGGGACCTAAGGATAGTATAGTGCCAGGAAAACGAGTTTGTTTTCCTGACACTATATTGATCCTGTAATTGAGTTAATATCTCTTTATATAAATTCTTTATGCATTTTGGTGTTAAAATATTACGAAACATTGCGATTCTAAGGATATTTTGTCACATTGTGTATTTGAAATAAAAGTTGTGGCCTCTTCGAACTCCAACCTTGTGTTGTGTCTTTACTTGGGTAGGTAAGTTATCCCAGACAACCCTTCCCTAGATAGATGTTTCCTGAGTCATGACTCAAATCACTGAAGTGGTCATGGTGGTTGGAGTAACCCTTTCAGTACTTACAAACTTGACATAATAAAATGTCACAACTCAGTTGTGAGGTTAAAGTTAGTTCCACTTTACTGATTCTAATAATTTATTCTTATATTTATTGCCTGTGCTTTGAACATCTAGTGGACTGTGTAAATTGGGTTTTAAATGTAGATATTTTCATTTATACTTTTCTGTTGACTGTTAGTTTTATCGGTCATGAGACAAGGATTAATTGAGATTCTACCATACGTGGTAAAAGTCATAGCATATGCTGTCTGTGCCAACATTTTTAACTCAGCAAAGTTTAAAAGCAATAATATATAACAGAATACTATTAAAATCTTACCAAATAAGGATAGCTTAGCCACAGTGGTCTAAGATTTTTGTTTTCCGTTTATTTATTTTTTGTGGGCTAAATCATGCCATGCTACTTTAATATGCAGAAAGGAAATGTAATGAAAATGCTGTTTATATTTAGAATTGCAATCTTGCTGATTCAGAACATCTCCTACCCATAATTCACAGCTCACAAGGGGACAAGAGGCTGCATGAAAGATATTTATATCTGATACAGGAGAGGGCAAGCTTGACATAAGAAGTAATGGAGATATTAAATGAGCGGACCATTTGCCTTTAATATATTACAGACATTTGTGCTCTCTCTACAGTTGCTGAATGTCCTACTGCTTTGAAGTCAGAGTTTTGTTGTTGTTTTTTTTAATAAATCTTTATTTTTGTTGTGCATTAACAAGCACATATAGACATTTCATGAAAATATTCAAACAAACAATACATATTATTGTAGGCTTCACATGGAATGTCAGAGAAAGACTGCAGTTTTTTTTATTTTTTTTATAAGTAATTAGAAAACAAGAAAAACCACAAGAGCACTGTTCGAGGATGTGAAAGAACTAGTGGATAACATAAGTTATAAACCAGAGAAGAGTAGTGACAACAAATTACCACTAGATAGATAGGGAAGCCTAGTGCACTAATTGCAGGTCAAAAAAGTCTGAATTATTGCAAGCAGTGAGCTAAAGGCAGACTATACTAGGTCCACTGGGCTACAGGGTATGTGTGTTGGCCCCTCAGCCGGTACCAAGAGGTACTGAGGTGGGAATGACACTATTCTCATCAACTCCCAGAAGGTTTCTCCGATTGAACCAGGGTGTCAGGCAGTCCGATTTGCTTCCTTTTAGGTGAGCACCTGAAGCTCGATGTCGCATCCTCCTGTCGGTGCGTACCCTGTGAGCAGATGTGCCGACGCGTGGGTTGTGCGTGCTGTGCTGGGAGTGGAGAGGTTTGTTTCTCCACCGGGGCGAACTTGTAGGCTACAGCCGTGAATGAAAGATAACTTCTGCACCATCCGTCTGCGCCGTCTATTTTGCTGTGCCCCACTGGGGAGATGCTGGTTGCATTGAGGTCAGCAGCATGGCTCCAGGGGGTTACAACTCCGCCAGCAGGAGGGGGAGAGGTTTCCTGTTCCGAAGCTTTTCCCAGAGCAATTCACAAGTGCGGTCAAATGCCATGAGGAACTACTCCACGTGTGGAAGAGAGCATAGTGGGGTATCCATAACAGCTGGTCTTGGCTGGGTGGCCATTTTGGTTTCTAGGTCTCAGGCCTTTTGATCCCCAGGTAGCTTGAGGTTTTGTCAGGCTTACCACTATGATACACCAGTGGGGAGCAGCCCAGGATATCCCCCATTGGTCCTAAGGGGTGTGGGGGCTGGGGGGGGACAGGGCTCCGGATTAGTAGGCACCAAATCGAGGCTGGGGATCGGCCTCCTTCCCGCCCTCAATTGTAGCTGTAGGCTGCAGAGGAGTCTCACACGGGCTGTCTCTGCAGGAAACAAGCTGAAGTGAGACAGATAGGTAGCAGTGTGCTCCACGGTAATAAGAGCAGGATTCTAGCCAGATATATAGCAAGATTGCCCAATTTAAAGGTGTTTTAAGTGGTGTTCCCGCACCATGCTGCTGACTCCATCTGCAGTCAGGCCCTGCCTCCTCCAGAGTTTTTGATTACTAGAGTTACATATAATGTAATAGTTTACAATAGTATGTAATTAGTAATTTTTTTCTTTATCATATCAATTCAATGATTAGTGATATACAGTATATATATATATATATATATATATATATATATATATATATATATATATATATATATATATATATATATATACTGTATATCACTAATCATTGAATTGATATGATAAAGAAAAAAATATATATATATAATTTAAAAAATTAAGAACTGCTATATCTAAGACAATTTTTTCCCTTATGATATTTAAATGTAGTATAACAGTATATCTGGGTAAAAAGATATATGCATATAAACAAAGAAACGCCAATGCACTCTTGGTTATTTTATATTAGAAAAATATAAAACCATTTACTTTTTTTTTACCCATTATTAAAAACACAAAGCTGCAATGCTTAGGTCCCAATTATGGTGGTTCTCTCTCAATCACCTGGTAGTCACTGACTGTACCTTTTGGTATACTTAATCTACTAATCACACTTCTGTTTTTATCTTGAGTCTACTGTTAACTGATTTAGGCCTCGGCTTAATATTGTTGGATAAGCTTTTCAAATTATTTTATTTTTAATAAACTTTTAAAATGATTTAATAATACTAAAAATATTAAAATTTTGTAACATTTCTGAAATGTGTTTTTATGTTAGTATTTGTTTTTACATTTGATATGATTATTTAGATTTTAATACTTTGAAAAAAAATGTTTTTTTTCAAAGTATTAAAATCTAATATAATCTAGCCATTGGTGAGCAAATAAAAATTCAGCCTGGGCAAATGTGCCATGGACACCTCACTGATTGTGAGGATCTTCCTGGTTGACTTAAAGCAGCAGCTTAATAACAGAGGTTGCATGGATGCTGTAGCCATCAGATGTGGTGTTAAAAGAATTCTTAAAAAAACTTGAAAAGGTTATTCACAAATTTGAAATGGATCTCTTTCTTCTCCCAGTAGAAAACTACTGTATGTTCATGGGACTAGTTAGCAGGGATAATGAACGTATTCTGCAGTATTCCAATATTACGTTATCAGGGATCACAATGTTTAGACCTTTGTTACTAGACTGGCTGGAAAGTTATTAACCACTACAAGCCTGTAGGGTCCATGGGTCACTCCCCGGGAGTGAGTTTCTACTTACCAAGGATGACTTCAATCTTGCCATAAGTTAGTGGGTAAGCGGAAACTTAGACGCCTGTCTCTTTAAACCAAATATCTTATTTTTTTGTTTTTAGTATTTTCTACATCTTTAAATAATGAATAGGTTTTGTTTTTAAGAAAAGTTATTTAACTGTATTGTTGCATTATCCCAGGAGCTACTTTGCTATTTTATGTATTTCTCTTCCTTCCTGCCATATTAGAATTTTAAATGACTTCCTCTCCTAGGTCACGCAAATGATGATCGAGATCATCCTATGGTCAGCAAACAATTAAGTTAAGCATATGACTTAATTGATGGCTGAGGTCTGTCTGAGGTCAAACAGTTAAGTTTTTCATAATAAGATTTATTCACTATTCAGTGTACTGCGCCAAATTGAAAATGGAATTTCAAAATTAAAGGGATACTCCAGGCACCCAGACCACTTCTGCCCATTGGAGTAGTCTGGGTGCCAACTCCCACCATCCTTAACCCTACAAGTGTAATTATTGCAGTTTTTATAAACTGCAATAATTACCTTACAAGGTTAAGTCCTCCTCTAGTGACTGTCTATCAGACAGCCACTAGAGGGACTTCCGTGTTCTTAGAACACGAAAAGTGTTTTAAACAGCGCTGGAAGTCCTCACGCTATGTGAGGACCTCCACTGTCACCGAAATCCCCATAGGAAAGCATTGATTAATGCTTTCTATGGGGAGGTGTAATGCGTGTGCGTGGCCATTGCCGCGGATGCGCATTAGGTCTCCCCCGCCGGCTAACGCGTCGGCGGGAGAGGAGAGTAGGCAGAGGTGGGGAGGGGGTGGAGGTAGGGAGAGGGGCACTGTAGGGTCCTGCAGTGCCAGGAAAAGAAGCATTTCCAAATCAGCTATTTTTGCTGGTTCTATGTTAGGATAAGATGCAACCCAGCTTGCAGAGTTAACTCACACCTCACAAAGGAAAGGTAGAAGTGCAAGTGGCTTTCTCGCATTTAAGATGTTGCTAGAATGCCGTGAGTTTGATGGACTAATGTCAATATTGACTTGCCAAGGTTCTATCTCTCTGACAGTTATTGTGACAATCCATCTTTGATGACTGAATAAAACAGAAAATTTCATAGACTTGGAATAATAGAGCATTTTTAGAATTGTTCGCTGTTAGTGGGGCACTTCATGCTGAAGATTCCTACTTCTGGAACCAACACTCGAAGGCTGTGTAGCGCTGTTCATTATACTGGTTGTTTGTTATATTTTATGTAATTGGAATTCTCATGTTACATTCTAATTAGTATATCTTGCCAGGGGAAAGCAAGTAACTGCTCCCCAGACTGCAAGTATCAGCATTTGTAGTTGTGTGTGTGCCTGTCATTTTTTAGTTGTCCCTTTTGGCCACAGTCCTCTCCCTTCTCCCTCCAGGAGAACACTATGTTCCATGTGAGAGTTTGGGTTATGCATAGATCAGGCCTCCTCAGATTGAATACAGCAATCCCAGAGTCCATCAGCCTTGGTTCAAGTCAACAAGAATCAGACACTGGACAGGAAGTAGAGAGGGGGCTTTTAACAAATAGAGTGGGCACCCCCACTGGGCAGGCAACTGTAGGAAGGCACCCCCACCGGGCAGGCGACTATAGGAAGGTCCCTAGTGGGAAATCAAGTCCTGGTTGTTCCACTGAAAAATAAATCAACATTAGCATATCACATTGGTAAAATACATAAAAATAGCACCTATAAAATAATAAAGAAATCTAATGAGGGATAAAGTTGTTAAGAGTGTTATATGTAAGTGCTAGTATTTTGAATTGACTCCTAAAGGTTACAGGAAGTCATTGTAAGGATTGACAAAGGGTTGAGGTCTTCATCAAGAAAGTAAAAGTAGCCTGATGGCCTCTGGAGATTATAAGAGAGTGTAAAGCTTATAATTTCCTCCTCAGTTGGTTTCTTTCTCAAGACATACAAAGTGCAAACATTATAAAAAACAATCACAGCATTTGTGAAACTATAATTTCTAATACAAATTCATAAAACACATCACATAATATATTACTAATTAGTTGAACACGAATGTATACATTTAACTCTTAAAATCCCAAAACATGTTTAGATAAATCATTGAGCTATACTTTAAACATTAGGTCACAAAACCTTTTTTTTAAATTTATATCAGATCTTAAATAAAATAAAGGACTAATTTACTTACATTTTCGCTCAACTAAAGTCCTTATTTCCTACAATTTAAAATACCTGTAAATAAAGGTCTTGGCTACACATAAAAGGTATGAAGGAGCATTGGAAGAGGTAAGCAAGATGACAGTGTCACAAATGTCTGTAGTGTGAAGATTTTGGAGAAAAAAGTGTAATCAGCAATGGCAAAAGCAACAGACAGATCAAGAAGTATTAGAATGAAGTAGTGACCTTTGGATTTAGCCACAATTAGGTCAATTAGAGAAGTTTCAGTAAAATACTGGGGGCAGAATCCAGATTGAAAAAGATCAAAGAGAGAATACGAGTTGAGAAAATAGGTCAGGCACTTACAGACAAGTAATGTAAGTAGCTTTCCATTAAGAGGAACTAAAGACATGGGGCCATAGTTAGATGGAGAAGTTGTGTGAAGAGATGGCTTTCTTAGGAGAGAAATCAGTGTCAGAACTAATGCAGAGAGGGCCCTGGTGTAAAAAACAACAACAAATGGCCCTCTGTAAGGGTAGTAGATGGTGGCATGGGTAGTCAAAAGGTAGATCTTCAATTGCCATACATCTTCCACAATGTTTTGCCAGCTGTGAATCTTCAGTTTGCCCATCCCATTTGCCCAAGGTTGAATTTGTATTGAATGCAGGGATATGTTTGTGGGTAGCATTAGTGTTTGAATGTACAGCTATTTTTGTGCACAGTGTTGGAGTTTCACTGCAGTGGTGTGTATCTACATATAGGCATAGAATGTCACACAAACATGCCGATTGCTACACACAGAAACACACAAACACTGCTTCAAAGAGATGTACACACATACACACAGATACACTCCAAGAGATAGACACAGAAAACACACACAGGTTGATACACATCTGTAGATCCACACACTGACTGACAGGCACTGATACACACACACACACACACACACACAGAGATCTTCAAACACTGAAACACATGCACAGATCTACACAGTGATATAAATGGATAGAGCCACACATACACACAGCTCAACAGACATGCACAGATACACACACTGACACGCATGCACAGATACACACACACAGATTCACACACATACACAGATCCACACACTGACAAACATGGAAAGATAAATAAAAAAAGTAAAAAGAATGAGTGACAACTGTATGTGAGGAGAGAGATTTTATTCCACATAAGTGGACCTGGAAACATTTTGACATGTTGAAAAGTCTTTGTCAAACTTGACAAAGATCTTTTAACAAGGTCGCAATGTTGCCATGACCACTTATGGTGATATATAATCTCATTCTTCACTTATTCTGCATTGCTAAACTGGCACCTAGTTCTCATCTATTTGGTGTGCCGGTTCCTCTTTTTTATATTTTTTATTTTTGTACTTATACAGACAAACACAAACAGATCAAACACTGGCAACATGCAAAGATGCACACACATTGACAAGCACACACTATTATAACTTATGGATAAGTGGGGAAGGCAGATATTCGCAAGCCCAGCACACCTCCACTCTGTGGAGTTAATGGAAGTGGAAGAAATCCTCCCTGACTGTCTAACTGACAGATAGGGAGGTGTTTTGCCCCAAGTTAGAAAAGTGATGATTTTTTACTGAAATCTGCACTTTTATAAACTGTCAAAATATGACAGACTACAGACACATATATCACTTCTGTTGAAGTGCTTTTTTTTTTGCAGATACAATGCACGTTTTATTTTTATATAGAGGAGTAGTTAGTAAGCTAGACTGGTCTACAGGTCTAGACTGTGCTTATCATACATTTGTACGTAAGGTTTTGCAATCTAGACTGATATTAGGTTAAAGCAAAAATGCTAATAGTTATACATGCTTGAATGTGAGCTATACAACGTGTGGGTGCAAATAGTGTTTAGTCGAATAACATCTATTGATGTCCCCCCTACGATCCCCTGGATGATCATAAACGAAATAATAAGTTCACTAGAGCATACATAAATCTTATGAGAGTGTTCATCTGAAGCATAGTAAGGTGAAAGATATAGGGCACTTTGCCTGGTATTAAGTCCCAGTCCTGGTTCAGCCAATGCCTAGCCGAAGTTGTGTGTATTCCCGCCGCTCTGTTTGTTGCAGCTTGCTCCGTCTCCAGGGTATGGGGAAGTGTGGAGCCCCTGTGCCGCGAGGCGGTGTGCTTGTCTGAGGATATGTACTCTGAGGTATGTTCAGAGCTGGGTTTGCCTGTCGGGGGCTGCTATACCTCTTCATTAGCCCTCCTGATGCGGTCGCTCTCTTGGGTCTCGCGTCCCTCCTGGGGTTCACATGGCGTTGCCGGGAGGCGGTCTTTGCTATGCCCGCCATGGATGGATGGTCGGGTTTGGTCACTGCCTTACCCCCCTGGATCACACGCATCTGGTTCCGTGGCGGGTCCTCGGGCAGTGCCCCTGGTAGTGGGGGCTGCATGCAGGCCTCTAGTTTCTCCCAGAAGGAGGCGAATATTTTGTTAAGCCTGCGTTCCGTGTCTGTCCATGTTTGGCTGAGCCAGGTGTCGTGGCAGGCATCTACCATTTTAGAGGTCTTTCTGGTGTTAGGGTTAGGGCCCTGTGTCGATGTATTGAGTCCCCTGCTCTGCTTGGGGTTCGCATGAGGGTGGACCGGTATAATCCCCGCCGGTCCGGGAACGTAGGTCCAGTCTTAGGGTCTCAGTTTGCCGTGGCTGCGGGAGAGCGGCCGTCTCCCCCATGCCCGCCATGCTTGTAAGCCGCAGAGTAGTTGAGAGTGGCCACAGCTCGGATTGTCGCTTGGATGGTATCATCCTATTCCTCTCAGTGTCAGCAAGAGCTGGGTGGCCTCTCTGTAGTGAGAAATCATCTTTTTGTTAGTGAAATTCAGCTTTTTCTCTGGCAGTCAGCAGGAGCTGCAGAGGTTTGCTTCGTCTCAGCTCTGCGGCCAGGCCCCGCCCCCCTGAAGTGCTTCTTATGTCTGGAGAGTTCTTTTATACAATTCAGATATCTGTGGGTTATCAAACCTTCTCTTTAAATGCTTCCTCACAAATTATATAAAGGGGCATTCCATTGCTCAAATGTAAATAAATAAAATATATGTTTAGAAGATTATACCCCAATTAAAATATGCATGGATTTAAATGTTCTTTTTTCCATTCATGTATGTGTAAAAACAGCTTGCAAAAACTGCAGATCTTTTGTCTGAAGTCTTTGCAAACCCTCCCCTTTTAAACCCAGCCAAGACTTTATTTGTCTGTCCAATCACAGCCTTGCTAATGCAGCTCAATAAGAAGTATTTTCAAGGCAGAGCAATTGCCTCTTTAGTTAAGCTTCACTCAGCTAAATAATCAGGAAGTAACAGGACTAGTTCTCTGATTGACAGGCTGGAGGTGGTGTAACAAGGTTTGTTTTTAAAAAAGTGCCAATTTCTATTGAAATCTGTAATATAAAAAAGTGAAGTGCTTTAGGAGTTTGGAGTGGTGGGTTAATTTACTAAATAAGGAATTGTGATGAATTTACAATGTAGGCTTAAATCATACCATTTCAAATCTATCTTTATGATATAGATCTATATGAAACAACTAAGACACTCGCATGGACCAATCTAATTAATAAAACATCACTTTTTAGCTCAGGTTTAATAAAAACAAAACATATAAACAAAACTAACAAGCAAAATGAAGCTTGAAAAGACATTATGATCACAAGGTACCATATATACCACACATTTACCATATTTTAGGCTTACCAGGCTTTAAAGGGTTACTCCAAGCACCATGACCACTTCAGTGATATGAAGCAGGCATGGTGCTGGGGGTCTGTATGTTCAGCATTTTGCTGTGAAACACTGCACATACTGAGTTTAACCCACTGGCTGCTGAGTGTGGAACCCCACCTCCAGTAGTGTCATGAGGCATCATCAGCCAACCTCGAACAAGAGATCTGGTGCTGGCTAATGCCAGTTGTGGGCAAATTTCATTGTCCAGACATTCATTCATTGGCTGACATTCGTCAACTGACACTCTCAGTCAATGAATAAGCGTCAGGATGTACAACCAACTTCTGCAGCTCTACTGAAGCCAGACATCACATAGTTACTTAATTACATAGACTGAAAAGACACTTGCATACATCAAGGTCAGCTTTTCTCACATTTGTTTTTGCTGATGATCCAAAAGAAGGCAAAAAACCCAGTTTGAATCACTCTCCAAGTCATAAACCTGCCTACAGAGGAGACATAGTGGGACACATGGGGGAAACAATTGTGGAATGGTGACAGGGTAATCTTACCATCATAACTACTACTGTTGGCTGTAGTGGTTATGACAGTTGACATAAGCCTTAAAATGACACTATAGTCACCAGAACAACTACAGCTTAATGTATTTGTTCTGGTGAGTATAATAGCTCCCTTCAGGCATTTTCATGCAAATACTGACTTTTCAGAGACAAAGCAGTGTTTACATTGACCCTAGGGACACCTCCAAGTGGCCAATCCTCAGATGGCCACTGGAGGGGCTTCTTTGTCAGGGCTGCACAGTAAGCAGCCCTTCAGTTCAGTGTCCCCACGCTCTGCATGGAGACAATGAATTTTCCTCATAGAGATGCGTTGATTCAATGTATTTCTATGAGGGGGTCCTGATTGGCCAAAATTGCATTTGGCCCCGCCCCGTGGTGATTTGATGATGTCACAAGGGGGCAGAGCCAGCACCGGCAGAGTCTTAAACTTTTAAAGGGGGGCTAAGCCACCGAAATGGTGGGTTAAACACTATAGGGTCAGGAATACATGTTTGTGTTCCTGACCCTATAGTGATCCTTCAAACATTGACCTTGACAATCAGAGGTAGAATTGAAGAATTTCAGTGTCCAATAACAGTTTTTGTTTGTTTGGTTGGTTGTGTATGCGTTTGTTTTTTTACTTAGAGTGCCAGCTTAATCTGGTTTAATGTCAATAGGTAACGGTTGTTCCGTAGCTATACTAGTTTACTGCAAATTGCAAAATATACAAAGTATTTGGGATTCAGCTATGCATCTATAAAAGGATAAAATAAACCATATATATTGAAGTACAGTCATATATAATTTAATTTGTGTTCTGGAAATGCACTCACAGAGTATATAGAAGTTTGGCACCTTGGGGTAGCATACACATTGTATGCTTTTTTGGTTTGTTTTTCAATGTCTATTGCTTTTTGTTGGCTGCTAATAAGCTTATTAAAAAAAGGCCATATGAATCTAATCTCATTCTAAGTCATATGGCAAAGGCTTACCTTGGGCCAATAAGTCATTAAATGTTTGGGGTTTGGTTTTTACTATTTATAATAGAATCCTTTTTGGATCAGTTCTCATTTATGCAGGTGTTACTTTGAAGATTTATTATATTTAAGGTATGAAGCAACATTCCATTTGGTTTACGCTTGCTAATGAAGACATGTTTCTACTGAAATGAAATACTTTGGGAATACTATCTTAGGCTCTCTGTGAGTTTCCTTCTACTCGTACTATTGCCATTGTTATTCAGTACTGTACCGTTAAATAAATGAATGTGGTATGATATAACAGCAATTACATATGTAAGAGCAGAAGTGAATATGTGAAAGAAATGGGGTGTTACATGGCATAACTTAGAATTTTAAAGTAGTTATAGGTGATGAGAATAAGGGAAACAAACAAAGCTTCTTGTAGAAAACGAAACTAAGTCATCTGGAAAGAAAGTGTTCCTTTATTCATTCCAACCACATTAAAACGCAAGTAAACTAGCCTTTTGAAAATCAGGCCATGAAAGCTGACATTTCCATCTGAGTTCTTAAAATCATAATCATTAATAAATCAACAAGCTGAGAGCTACGCTGTGGGAGGGGGACCAGGGTTAGACAGCTTGGCGGCTATTCAAATATATATTCAGGATGCATAATGCAATTTTAACCTCTACATTCCCCATTAAAATTGGGAAGTGTTTCATTTCTTAATCTCCTACATGATTGAACCCACCTCTGCCACCTGTTTAAAAAAAATTAAAAAAGTCTGCAACTGATATATCTACTTTTAGAAGGATGAGATCTAATAAAATTACACTGTTAATATTTCCTTTTCAGGGCTATGCTAAAACCATTTTAAGATATGACTATTCTTTTACCATTAATAGAATTACACAAACACATTCCTTCTTTATACTGTAACTATTAGAACAGGACTTTCAAACGTACCATGCTAGTATCTCTTGTTTTATCAAGTTGAGCATTTATATTCAACTTTTTTAATGTATTTAGTGCTGTGGAATTTGTTGCCAATATATAGATACATGCTAATGATAGTATTAAAATAAGTAACATTAAACCTCACCTGTCATTATCCTTAGTAACCTACGGGAGACTCCATCCTAACTATGTACCAACTATCTACTACGTGATGTAGAGAATCAACATCTACATGGCAATTGAATTACATATGTCGATATACATTCTGGTATATAAAGACATATTGTTGTTATAATGTTAACATTGTTTGCATACAAGTAAAATACTTTCAAGATTGTGCACCTTTAAAACTTTAAAACTATGTTGCTCTGTATGCCTTTAAAACGTGTCAGGCTAATTTTAGAGTCCATAAAATTGATCTATATAAGTGTTAATCCAAGCACCATAACTACTTCAGTGATTTGAAATGGTCATGGTGTGTGGAGTTTGTATGTGCAGTGCTTTGCTTTAAAATGCTGCACATATAGAGTTTAACCCAGGCTTCCCCAAACTCCCGTCCTCCAGATGTTGTTAATCTACAGCTCCTATGATTCTATGAATGAAATAGGTAGGCTGAGAATCATGGGAGTTGTACTTCAGCAACATCTGGTGGGCGGGAGTTTGGGAGAGCCTGGTTTAACCCCTCAGCTGGTGTAGCTCTACCTCCGGCATCGGTGGGTCGCCATCATGTACCACATGACAGACGCACAGTCAGATTTACCAGCATATGCGTTAACTTTACCCTGAACCTCATTAAGACATGGACACAGGTTATTCTGTTGGAAATATTAGTCGACAGTTTTATTAATTTTTAATTAATTAATTAAGGATAACAAATAGGGTCATTGCCAACAAATATTATTAAAGCCAACTTCCCCCCATACACATAATATACCCCTGGCAATGACCCCACAATAATAACAATAGATAACAATCTAATTAACATATTAACTCAGAAACTGGCTGTCCAATATGACCACATTTCCGCCAGATTAAATTGTAGGGGTGTACAAAGACACCGCTACACCCACAAGTTCAATTGTAGGGGTGTACCAAGACACCGCTACACCCCCAGGTTCGAAACCACTGACTCGAACCTACCAACCAAAACATCAGGATGCCCACTTCCTCCTCCATCTACCCCCTGATTTAACCTGGCCATTCCCTGCCACAGCTCAGGACTTGACACCTAAAGCTCCTGAGCTCCTCCTGAAGGCCCAACATAAATAGGTCAAACCCCACATCCAAAAGATGTACACCATCCCTCCTGAAGTACCCAGGAAGCATGCCTTCCAATTCCCCGTGCCTCACTGCCATTCCACCTATATGCCTAATTAAGACCGCCATCATTTTATTGATTTGTCCTCGACACCGAACCATCGAGGCCAGGTCCTTGGCATCTCAGACCACACCACCACCACACCTGGAGCCAGCTCCAGTAGCCGGTCCACATCCCTCTTCGTCCATCTGACTAATTCCTTTTTTGGGATCATGCCCAGATCATTACCTGTAGCGTGGATTAACAGTACATCTGGAATGGTGCCCCTTGCCACCCTCCGGAAAAGTTCCTCACTAATGCCTTGCCAACCAAAACCCTGAAAACCAAACCATTCCAGTATCACCAACTCCAGAGCAGAACCCATCTGCACTCCTTGTTTCTGAACTGCGGCTCTCTTCTGCGCCCAGTAGATGTAAAAGTGGCCCACCAACCAGGCCACCCAACCTAAAATGAAAACTGAATCAGTGACAAGGCATAACACAAAACACCACCCCACCAATCTATGCCCATTAAACCAAGTGTTCAGGCCGTAAGTAAGACCGTACCGACTCCCATCTACCTATACGTTTCACCAGTTCCTCACCTAGACCCAAGCAGGATGCCTCCATCGCTGCCCCTATCTGGAATGAATGGGTCCCATTCCAAACCCAGCTCTGTCAAGCCCATCTGAAGAACCCGAAAGAATTGGAACCGCGACAGAGCGGATCCATCTCCATGTACCAAAATACTACCCAGGACGTCCGAGCGAATCTCCATGTAGTGTGATGCACATAAAACCGGGAAGACACCTGACCCAGGCAAGCAAAATAGTGTTACTAAACAACCTTTACCAAATACATCCGTCTTTGTATGGCCGAACCGAATCACCACCTTATCGGTTCGTAATTCGATGTCCGAGTGTTGAAAACCCCAACACCCGCCCGAGAGGTACTCACCAGTTCACCAATCCGAAAGGCCCCGAAGAGTGCTCATGAGAAGGCAACTGAGAATAACCCCACCTCAAAAGGAGATGAACACACCGCTGGCAGCACTCCCACTAAGCGCTGCAGGACTTCAAAAGATCCCTGTAACGGACCGTTTTGCACACAAGGGGTAAAAACCGTTTAGGCGATCGGCCCCCTTTCCAGAGATCCAGGCACAGCTACTGCAGAACACCAAAACTCACGAACTGGATACAAAATAGCACTCCAACTCCCGAACTGGAACCTCCCAAATAGCTGCTAGCAGACGAACAGGAAAAGCAGACGAACAGCTTACACTCCCGGCATATCACACTGCCGCTGGGGAATGGAGACTGGGCTCCCAATTCCCTGCATATCACACTGCCGCTGGGGAGAGGAGACTGGGCTCTCTCTGTCCTGCAACTGTAGCTGCCGGTGGAGGTCCACCCACCGTGGCAGCTGACCGTCACCCTCTGCCCGGTACAGCAGAGTCTTGAATACTAGACTCCTCACGAACTTCACGGATTTCTCAGCTGGATTAGGTCCGAAGAAGTTCAGCCGCAACCACATCATGCGGTCAAATTCCTGTACAGAGTATCTGTACTCCACTGCTGGTTCCATTCTGTTGCTGTCAGGGTCGCTGTACTGAGACATGCGTTGCCCTCAAATTGTAAAATCCACGGAATGGTGTCTCCTGTAGCTGTCCTTCTGGCTGTAGGAACGATCCCGCCGCTTGCCACCAATTGTAACGGACCGTTTTGCACACAAGGGGTAAAAACCGTTTAGGCGATCGCCCCCCTTTCCAGAGATACAGGCACAGCTACTGCAGAACACCAAACTCCCGAACTGGATACAAAATAGCACTCCAACTCCCGAACTGGAACCTCCCAAATAGCTGCTAGCAGACGAACAGGAAAAGCAGACAATCAGCTTACACTCCTGGCAATCAGTCTCTAACAGCATACAGTGAATCCCCCCAAGAACGAGACAAGGCTCCGTGTTGAGGGTCAAGCAGTGGTCTGAGGTGCTGGCACACCCAGCCTGGTTTTTATTACAGTCTTTCAAATACAGGACCACCCACAGGGAGGTATAAAACAACCAATCACATCACAGTTACATCCCACATATTCCCTCCCCTTATCCTGAGAGGAAACTCAATTACAACAGTTAAAACATACTTTCTACCCAACTTTCATAACTCTAAAACCATACATCACATTCACATAAAATTACATATTCTCAATCAATCCATTCAGGGAAACAACATATTCAAAAATGGCACAAATCAGACAAGGGGTTCAAAAGTTAGTAAAAAGTCCTTTGTGACTAAATGAAGCATGGCTTTCTGGCCCAAACCAGTTTCAGAGTCTTCTATCCTGGAGATAAGTAATTCAATTATCTCACAGGACAGACACAAGACTCCATTAAGCACATGGTTGCAAAAAGACACAAAACACTTTAAAATACATAAAGTCACATTTTACACATAACACACAGACATTTCACATATCCCCAGATAGCTCAGGTCTGAGCGCACATTATTAAGTGAATGGCGCTCGGACCACACAAATACAGTTTAATCGCCATGGAGCAAAAGTCTTTACAGTCAGTTTCATACGAATGGGCTCCATGGGATTCCTATCTGGGGTATAACACATTCAAACAAATCTACTGAAACCCAGGCAGAAAAGCACGAATACAGCTTTTCTGCAGGCAAAAATAAAGTCTTTTAAAAGGGGGCCATAGTCCAAAGGCAGCAGGCGAGCAACCAGGCTTCTCCAGTGCAATGTGGCGAGATTGGTCTCGTCACAATCCCGACCGGTCTTCTAGCATCCACCGATTTCTTACATCTCCTAAAGCCCCGTAATGCTTGACGAATGAGAAAATGTTTTGTAACGTCCTCTCAACCATTCAACTTGAACAGGAACACCAATGCCGCCATATTTCTGTCGATTACAGACGGAGACAAACGCTGTGGTAAGAAACGGCAAAGGAACCACAGAACAGTATCCAACCATCCCTCCTTTAACTGGGACACCCCTGTGTGACCTACCGCCTCGTCCCATGCATCCCAAACCTTTACATAAGCAGCCCACGTGCCAAGCGCCAAAGAATTCCTTGTGAATTCTCAAAGCATGACATCCCAAGCCACCACATTTCCTCCGGACAGGCCTGTCCTTCCTTTCGGGCCCCCAGAGCCACCAGCCGAAACCGTTCCCACTGTGAACGAGACAAGGAATCAGCCACCACGTTTAACAAACCAAGCATGTCACATGCCCGAAAAACAATATTAAAAGACATGCAAAACCACACAAATTGCCGTAATAAGCGTACAACCAGGACCGAAGATGCAGATAAGCACATGACCACATGAACCACCACCATAAAAAAAAAATAACACCTTTCCTGTCCCGCAGCACCTCCCCCCAAAACGCCAAAGCTATCACCAATGGGAACAACTCAAGAAACCCCAAATTACGGATAAGAGGACTTGCTTTCCAGGCCTCAGACCACTGAGCAGCACACCACATGCCCGACAAATATGCCCCAAAACCTATGCTCCCCGAAGAATCTGTGAACAACATAACACAATTCCCAGACCCACTAATACAACTTCATGGTCCCATGACCCTGACAATGTGACGTGGAGACCAGACCCCACAAGTTGCCCTTGCCAGAAAACAGCTAAAAACTCTCCCCATGCAAATTACCCTACACGCAAAATTCTCTCAAAGTATCTGGACCCTCTAACACACAACACGAGCTCCCGAAGTGCAATCACCTTATCCCTAGGCAGCCGACATTCCCCTGCCACCGAATCAATCTCCAAGCCAAGAAAACAGACAGGTGGTAGGGCCCACCGTCTTGTTGGCTGCCAGGGATACCCCAAATGAATTAGCCACCCACTCCAAAGACCGCAAGGTATGGCCACAACGGTCCGACCTGGCAGTGCCCACACACAAGAAGTCATCGAGATCGTGCACTAAAGAACCCCCACCCAATTCCTCGTGCACCACCAGCTCCAAAAAGGAACTAAACGTTTCGAAGTAGGAACAAGCAAGCAAAGGTCCACAAAATAAGCCCCACATGCTACCTAACAGATGGTGATAATCCGGATGAATCAGCAGTAATTGAAAACCCGTCTCCACGTCAGCCTTCGTCATCAGTGCCCCGTGTCCTGCCTTCTGAACCAACTCAACCGCCTGGTCAAATGATGCGTAGGAGACAGAATACAGGGTCGCATCAGTGTCATCATTCACCTAAGAACCTTTCGTATATGTCAAATGATGGATCAGGAGGAACTTACCCAGTTCTTTCTTAGGCACCATGCCCAAAGGTAAAATCCCTAAATCCACCAACAGAGGTTGTGAGAACGGCCCTGCTCAACCGCTTTAGCCAATTTATCTCGAACCATCTCTGGATGCTCCGCGACCGACTTCAAGTTGTCACACAATCGACCCAAAACTTTTAAAAGAATACCAAACCCTTTTGAAAACCCATACAACAATAACTGTGCATCACCCTGGTTACGATTAGCCAAGGCAACATTGCGCCGACCTTCACCAGAGTTGTCCCCAGTGGAAGTCGATGACGCCAGATGCAGACTTTCCCCACTTGAAGCACCTGTTGAGGCCGTGGGCCCCCCCCCCGCAGCCCGAACATTCGTGCTTAAACTTACACGAGTCACCCCACTTTCATTGTCCTTCATTAAACGTCCAACAGAACCCATTCTTTTGACTGGCCGATGAAGAGGAGGTTGATCCCACGCCGGCTCCACCCTGAAAGGGTGCAGCTTTCTGAGCCATCATCACAAACACTAGCCAAAATGCAGAATGCCTGAAGCAAATTCCCCAAATAGTTAGGTATCTTCCGATACCTCCGTCTCTCTTCCTCCTCCTCTTTCTTGACATTCTTTGTATATTCCTCCTTCAGATCAAAATATTCATCCAAAGGATCTCGAGGAATTTGGCCCGCCAAATCTTTTCCTTCACTTCCGATATTAGATAACAACCCAAACGCCCAGCGAATGACACGTGTACATTCTGTTTGGCTACCTCAGGAATCTCACCTGTCAACTCTGCACACTCGCTGACCACCGCTGACATCCCTGACCCAAGTAAAGTCACCGAAGTCCTGCCCTGAACACTTCCTGCCACAGCCACTGGAACCGTAGTAGCCACCCCACTCCCGCCTGTCGGTGGACCCCACACCAAACTAAAACGTGCCTCCCGTGTATCCCCGACAGCCCAAGTGTTAAGAAAGGACCTCAAGCTATCCAAGAGTTTCCCAGAGTGTAGTGCAGTAGAACACTCACCACCAGAACCCCTTGCTGTAAAAGTCCATCCATCTACCTCGAGAGGCTCAGGAGTAGCATCATAGCTTCTGTATCCAGCTGTCTGGTTCTGCCTCAGAACCATAGGAGAAGGAGTTGCTAACCTGCGGAAGGTAGACAATTTGGGTAGTCTGCTGACCTGACCACATTCCCTGTCCTCACAACATCTGGCCGTCTGGCCAGATTGGCCATACAGGGTAAGCCTACCCTTCTGATAACTCCTGTTAGGCGACCTGTAGGCCCTGCACCGGCTCCTCGCCCTATCCTCGGAAGAAGTTAAGCGCCCCCTGCTGTAATGCCTAACAGAAGGGCTCCTGTCTCTGCTGCGCTGACCTGCTGTGGACAGTCTATCCTTGCTGTGCATGGTCCTATCCTTGGAATGATCCTGAGAAGTAGCCTGGTCTGGGACATCTGGTGACCTGCTATCCCTCATCCTAGAGCGGCGCTCCCTGCACTCTCGGACAGCATGACTCCTCCAATCCGACCTATCCATCTGCCTGGCATCATGTACCCGTGCGCACTCACTCCCACCTGTCTCTGCTCTGCCTCAGGCACCTTTCGGGCCACATGCCTATCTTGTCTTTTAGGCCTGCCTGGCACCTCCCTGGCTGTAGTACTGCTATGTCCTAACCCTGCCTGGCTGCCTGAACCAGCCGTCACCCGTGCTGACTAAGCCCCAACTGAGATATTGGCCTCCACCACAGCTGACCTGGTCCCAGTCGGGGTTGTACTAGACTCCTTCCTGCTGCCTGGACATCCCACGCCCTGTTCCCCTCTGTGCCCCTGGGCACCCATGTCCTGCCTAACTCTTCCCAAGGATACAAGGCCCATCAGGCTCAACTCACTGAGAGCGGCAGGGGTGTCACCAGCGTTGGTAGCAGACCACTCCCCGCCACACCGGAGCCCACCATTCTCAGCACCCAACCTTTCCTGACAGCCACCAACTGACGGGGCACAGCCTGACCTGGGAGACGTAGGCAAGCAGCCTCCCGTCCCCAACCCGATCCACCAATGCCACCTGGAATAGACCGCCTGCCAGGGGCATCCACGGTCGACACCTCAGGCCCAACCCTCTAACTGCCGACCGCCGCCTCGACCACACAGTCTGCTCCGGAACCGTCTGCCTCAGGAGCAGCTCCTGGAGATGGGCTCCTCCTCTGTGCCGACGGCCCACCAGAAGGCCCGGGGGATACCATCCGCTCCTGCAGTGAAGCGATGCCACACTCCCTCACCACCACACGAACACCTGCAAGGAATTCTTTGACAGGATCCATCTGAAAAAGAAAGAAAAAACTTACCTAAACCTGAGAGACAACTAACAGGTAAGTTTAGGTTTAGTTAAGATTGCCACTTCACAAAATGGCCGGTATAAATACTCCCATCGTAGCTCCTCAAGGCAAATTGTTAGTGTGGGACTCATCTAAGATAATTTGCCTTGACGTGGCAGAAGAGCTTACACTTTAATTACCATTGGAGTTACTCTAAAAAAACAGCAATTATTTAAATTTGCATAGGGATTTGGGATAATGCACAGGTAACTTTTTTTGCTTTTATTCTATATATTTGTGCAAAGAGATGTTTTAAACCTGCTAGTCAGCATCACTGGCACCAGTGAGAATGGTGGGCACATCTGAAATAGGGGTTTTCACACCCAATGTCAGCTTGTGGTAAATGCACGCCAGGCTGACATGCCAATCATGCTGGCCGCTGTTACAGAGATCTCTACATGGTCCTAATGCCCTTAATGTATTGCAATTGTGTCTAATGATGCACTTACTTCATACTTTCTGGGATAGTTCCCTTGTGTCCCCCAAAGTGGGGCAATTTGGAACAAACCTAAGACAGTATGACACAAACCTGAAATAGGGAATGACATTGGGACTGTTGAAAGGCCTGCCCTATAAGTTAATGGCACATCATAAATTAACATAATAAATTAGTAACATCATAAATTAACTTTAAAGGGACATTCCATTGTACAAACACCCCAAAAATCCCTCTTTAGTAGATATAAAAACTATGAAATCATATGTGCATTTTATGATGCATATTTTCACTGGGGGTATATCTAAAAACAACTTAGGAAAGCTTCAGATCTTTTTGCAAGTTCTCCCCTTCTTTCCCAGCCCAGACTTTTTGTGACTATCAATTACAGAATTCCCAATGAAATTGGGCTGGGGCTCTGGTCAATTGCTTGGCTTTTGTGTTTAGCTCCACTACCAGGAAGTAACAAGACTGGTTTTCTGATTGACAGCCAGGAGGTGTAAGCAAGGTTCATTTATAAAAGTCTCTGATAAAATGCTGGTAGGCATGAAACACATCACTGTTGGTTCTTTTGCTAGCTATGTCTGTCTGTCCTAGCTATATGTCCTTTTCATTTTAATAAAGATAGTTTATCTTGATCTTTGGATTGAAACACCTTCCTTCTACAATATGGAGAAGATTTGGAAGTTCAGCTTTTATTTTAGCCATTTTTTTTCAAAGTGCCAATTTCTATCTATTTAAATATGCACCATTTTCACACATAAAACACCTCAGCAAACTTAAGTGTTTTGGAGGTCTGGGGTGCCCTTTAAGATGGGTTAGTTCAGAGTAATGAACTCATAAAAAGCAAAATACTATTCCCACTGGGGTGCCCCAGGAAGGGAAGGTGAACTCCCAAGCCACACATGTATACACGTAAAACCTAGGCACACCCAACCGTTTCCGATGTCGCTGTCAATGTGGAGTGTCTGTGAGCAAATAGACCCTCTCTCAAATTCAGTGACGTCTCTAGGATTAATTTTTAGGGGGGCACATGGTGGGCCAGGGACAAAAGTAGGGGGGCACATTTAACCCCGCCCTTGACGCAGTTTGACCCCACCTCTGTCGCATGTTAATCCCCGACCACGACACAATGTGTTGTTGTTTTTTTTTTAATAATCTCTGGTGGAGGATTCATTATTTTCTACCACGGATTATTAAAAAACAAACACATTTTGATACAGTGCCATAGTTGCCAACATTTTATTAAAAATCGCCATGGCATTTTGCAGCACAGCTATCAATTACTGTCTGTGTATAATATCCCTGACAGTCAGTGTATAATAATACAGGGTTGTGTGTGTGTATAATAAATTGGGGACAAATCAAAGCAGTCCTGTACAGTGCTGTTCTGTATAATACATGGCTGTGTGTATAATAAATTGGGACACTCAGTGCTCCCTGTATAGTGCTGCTCTCTGTATAATACAGGTCTGTTTGTGTATAATATCCCAAGACAGAGAGCAGCACTATACAGGGAACACTGACTGTTCCAGGATATTATATAGACACAGACCTGTTTAATACAAAGAGAAGCACTATACAGGAAGCACTGACTATCCCGGGATATTATAGATAATACACAGATTCAGTATGATACAGAGAACAGCACTATAGTATTATACAGATAGCTACATTACACCCCATGTCCCAATCTCTAGACTACTAGTACATGTCAACACAGCCCGGCAGACGCTGCAGGGCCTAGGCCAAAAGTGCAGCTCACACAGATGATTCAGCTGCAAGCTTAATCTCGCTGGCAGAGCCAAACCCTGGGAATCCAAAAAGGTTCCTGAAAAAAAATGTATGCCATTCCTACAAGTGTATATATATATATATATATATATATATATATATATATATATATATATAGTACAGTGAGCACACGAGCTCACTGACATGCGCAAATAGGCTCACTGACACACAAGCTTAATACAGACAAACTCACTTGTATAAATACAAGACTCACTACAAAGAAGTTCAGGGACACACACAAGCTCACTAAAGACAAGCTCGTTGACACACACATGCTCACTAAATAGATAATAAATAGAAGCTCACTGACACACACACGCAGTACCATTTTAACAGTGTTAAGGGCCCCGGGCAAAGCAGTGCACTAGGGCCCTTCCTACACAACAACTCACAGGAATAAAAATTTAAATTATTGATAGACTGCTGAGTACATACACACAGTACACTGAATACAAACACCGAGAGACTGCTGAATACACACACACACACACACGCACACAGATTTCTGAATGCACACAGACTCCTGAATGCACACAGGCGTTGCTGAATTCACACAGGCTGATTTATACACTTACACAGAGACTGCTGAGTCCATACACACACACTGCTGAGTCCATATACACACACACACACAGACATACAGATTGCTGAGACCATACACACAGACCGCTGAGTCCAAATACACACACACACACACACACACACAAATACAGACTGCTGAGTCCATACACACACAGACACAGACTGCTGATTCCATACACACACACACACACTGCTGAGTTCATACAAACACACACACACACAGACACACAGACTGCTGAGTCCATACACACACACAGACTGCTGAGTCCATACACACACACACACACACACACAGACTGCTGAGTCCAGACACACACAGACTGCTGAGTTCATACACACACACACACACAATTAGACAGAAAATATGGATTCCAAATACAACTACTCACAGTCACAATTAAAAGGGGGGAGAGTAGAAGACAGGGAACCGTCCGCCACTAATTCTTGGACACGAACTCCGACCAGGGGACGGAGTGGGCGTTCCAGAGCAAAAGTGCGGGAAAAACGGGGAAGGAAATGGCCGCTGCGAGAGCAGACACCAAAAAGATGGCCGCCACGGCTTAAAACAGGACTGTGAGAAAGGTTTGAACGAATGGGGTGACCGTGGACCGCGGTATGTAGGAAAACTGCCGAACGAGGAGTGGGTGCGGCTGAATGCGCGGTCGGAATTTAATCAGAACGCGAACATACAGCCGGACTGCAAGATGGCCGCCGGAGGCGTTCCTGATGGAATGCGCATGCGTGGCTTAGTGGGAGGGTCCAACTACCCGTGAAAATGGCAGGGCTGGTATAGGAAAACCTCCCCAGGACCTGCAAGATCCTATGTACAGTTTCTACAAAGATAGCAATAGGTCAAGCAATTTAAGGTTGGGAAAGGATCCCCATAGAGTAAAGGAAAGTGTAAAATTTTAAAGGTACAATACCAAAAATAGTGTAAAACTTAAAAAGGTACAATACAGTAAATACAAGCTACTATAATGATAGCAATCTAGCAGTAACATAGATTAAAAACAGAAATACAATTAGCACATCATATAATCATAAGAGGATCCCACAGTCGGAAAACTGGGAGAGGTCTACTTATCTGAGGGAGCAGCAAAGAAAGAGGAAATGGTCATCGATGTTCCACCTACTATAGGATAAGGATGTCACTGATGGGATGGTCATGTTACTAGGCGGACATTGTCATTATGATGTTTATACCTGTTTTTTCAATTGTTTTTTTCTTTGCTGCTGAGGTGATTAAAGAAAGTGTGCAGCATAATAGGAGCCTCCGGGTCTTTAATAAAATTTATTTTTAATGGGTATATTAGATCTAGGGTGATCTTTTTTCTCAGTTCTAGATTGAACAATTTTCGATGGGTTAGGGTCTGTTCTGTTGTTAGAATCCCCATTCTCACTAAATGAAATAGTTTTCTCTTGGACATACTGCTGTGTATTCTTCCGTCTAGAGATCCATGGTATTCTCTCCTAAATCCATCTATTCAATACTGATTCTTCGATGGTTCTCTTACATCTCTCCCATTTTCAAATCTTCCTTTATGGAAGGTGTGTACTTTGTTTTCTAGATAATCTTTTATCTCACAAATATATATATTTTTTAATAGTAATTACATCCTTCTCTACTTAATTCATTATCTCCTCAGATTGTTTCTCCATTTCCCTAGATTCCAAAAAGGGCTGTAGGAGATCCTTGATGTTTTTAATTTTATTGTCCAACTCCCTTAAATTGAGTTGTCTCCTTTTAATAATATGTAGCAAACCAATTGATATTGGTGCCACTCCCCCATGAATTCCTCACTTTCTCTGTCAAAGGTGGGTGTTTTGTTAAATTGCAATCCTCTAGGTACCATTCCTCCTTTGACGTACTGTTATCTTTACTGTTACTGTTTATCTTTAGTTAATTTTTGGAGATCTTTACATAGATCTGGTATATTTTGGGGGATATTAGGTGTATTACATAATACTTCGTCCCCAAAAATCTCATCCAAGTTGGAACAGTATTTCCCTCTTGCTTCAAAAATGGACAAACTTATATTCCAAGCAAGCTTACACAACACACAATAAGTGCAATAAAACTGTTAAAGGATCACTATAGTGCCAGGAAAACATACTAGTTTTACTAGTTTTCCTGGCACTATAGTGCCCTGAGGGTGCCCCCACC